GCTGAGCCAGGAGGTTTGCGTGTTCCAGGCCAGCCTCAGCAACTCAGTGAGACCCTGTCTCAAAAAAAAGGAAGGGTTGGGGATGTATCTCAGTGGTAAAGCATCCCTGGGTTCAATCCCGGTACCAAAATAGTCCTACTAATACTGTCAGGTGGTAAAAGTGCTAAGTAGAAAATAAGTAGGCAAAGGGGTAAGGGTGGGCAGCTAGCCTCCAGGAGGGGGTGGGCGAGAAGAGCTGGAGCAGAAGGCAGGGTCCTGAGCTCACCTGGAGGACCATCCCAGTCTGCTGGAGCAGTGCAGGAAAGCACTGATGAGGTCCCTGCTGTGCAGATGGGAGGAGCAGGGAGTGCCTAGTGGGGAATGGGGTCAGGGCAGAGGCCGGATGGTGGCAGATCTCATAGGTGGCAGCAGAGAGTTTGGCTGAGAGCAAGATGGGAGCCTGGAAGTTCTCAGTGCAGGAAGGTTCATGCTGGCTCTCAGAGATGGGTGCAGCCCTGTCTGCACTTTACAGAAGCAGGTGGCATCTAGGTATCTCTGAAATACGCATGAAGGATGCCCGGCCTGTCCCTCTCCTGCTGAGCTCCAGAACCCAATGGGGACTTAGAGGCAGAGCCAGCAGCCGTGTAAAGAGAGGTCTGTCTGGAAACTTCCTGGTCTGAGTGAGAAAGCCATCCACACCTTGTAGCTCGTCCTTGTCGTAGCACCCAGGACAGGGCCCTGCCCAAGTCCTGGTCTGCTCCCAGCGGGTGAGATTGGGACTGGGGACTGCTGCAGACCAGGACGGGGCAGGGCCAGCATCTGTCCCACATCCTCCCAGGCAGGGCGGGGCCTCTGYGGCTTCTCTCTCTTCTTTGTTTTTCCCCTGGGTTTCCCCACAGATGTTTCCCGAGGGCCTGTGATGTGCCCGTCCTGCTAGGTGGCACACCCAAGTGAGCGAGATAATCACACCTTCCAGGTAACCTGGAGCAATACACAGGAGCAGGGACAGCAGATGGGGTCAGCTGGGGAGGACCAGGACTCAGTCAAGAAGGTGGCATGGGGACAGGCTATGGGAGGACTCCCCGAGCCTTTTGTCATTTTGAAATCCCAAGGTGAGGTGCAGGGGACATTAGGATCTGTGTRATCCTAGGAGACGTCAGTGAGCGCCAACACTGGACTTGAACCTGTTCCCGGGAGGCAGGATTATCTGTAGGAACTAGCCAACCTCAGGCCCCCCCAGCTCCCTCCCACTTGGGGCCAAGTCCCTTCCACGTCTATGTCCCCCCAATCCCAGTGCTGTCTGGTGCCATGGAGATCAGGTATCCTGAGCACTCGGGCGGATGTCCCTGCCCCTGAGGGTGCCCTGCCTGCTCTGACCCCAGAGGCAGCCTGGCTTCTGAGCGGATCTGGATCTGGCTTCTGCTCTTGCAGCTCAGCAGGGCGCAAGCTAAGCCCTGAGGGCTTGGCCGGCCACCTGGTGTCCTCCACCTGGTGCTCCCCCTTCCCCAAGCTGCTGCTCTGACCAGATAGCTGCTGTCCGTGGAGGAGCACCCGGGCTCCCCGCTCCCCTGTCCTCCTCTCCCTAAACTGCAGGGCTCCAACTGCAGTCCCTCGAGTCAGTCACAGGCCAGGGCTGGCCATGCTGAGCCAGGGGAGCCACCCCAACAGCCCCAAGAACCAGAGGGACGGACTGAGGGCCATGAATGGAGGACAGGGAGGAGAGCAGTTGTTCTATTTCCCTCGGAGCTCCACAAGGGGTTGGCTGGGCTGTGAGCGGGTTTGCACGTGTGTGGTTTGTATGTGTATAGTGCCTGTGTGTGCGAGTGGTCGTGCCATGTGTGGCATGGTGTGCCTGTGTGTACGTAGTAGTGGCATGTGTGTGGCATGGTGTATGGTGTGTACCTATGTGTGCGTGGTAGTGGCATGTGTGTGCCTATGTGTACATGGTAGTGATATGTGTGGCATGGTGTGCCTGTGTGTGCCTGGTGTGCATGGTAGTGGCATGTGTGCATGTATGCATGTGTGTGCCCTTGTGTGCATGCCAGCCTGCTGGTGGGTGGCTCTGCCTGTGGGGACTAGGAGCATGCTAACCCCTTCCAGGCTCTGCCCCAGGGTAGAGTGAGAGATAGTGCTCATGGGGCAAGGGACTCTGTCTGGAGCCTGCAGTCCCCATACCCAGCCCTATGCCCTCTGCTCACAGCCATCCTGACAGGTGTCACCCAATTGTTACGGCTTCCCCAATGTTGAAGAAGAATAACACCAAAGAAGCACAGTAGAAATTAGAAGTTTATTAAAGGACAGCAGAAAAGACTTCTCCCAGAGGAAGAAGGGGACCCAAGAGGTGGAATCCGKGGAAGTGCAGTTGTCTCCCCTTTTTATAGTTTTGGTGATGGAATGTAGGGGGAAGGGTTGGGACACAGATGGGCCAAACAAGTAATCTGGGCAGGAAGGACTTCATTATCACTTCTTTGGGATGGGCTATCTTCAAATCTGCTGGGGCTGTTCCCTGGGTTCCATTAACATTTCTTTGGGGTGGACTTTGGCCTAGGGCCTTTCCGGGACTTCATTAACATTCCATGAGTTGTCCTGCTTTTCCGGAATCATTGTCAGCATGGCCTCCATTTTAGATTTCACTCGATATGATATTAGACCCGATTTATCTAACTATACTGACTACCTAATTTTAAATCTGGCTTCACAATCATACTCCCAGGAGTGGCACTGTTCCAAGATGGCCCCTGCAGGGATTTCTACTCGGGAATGGGAATTTTTGCTCCCGCCCCTGCCCCCCTCAGGCAAGGAAATGAGTCTAAGCGCTGAGGTGGCTACAGACTCCCAAGTCACAGGTTCGGGGACACCTCCAGGGCCCCTGGATTGGAGCATGGGCTACATTCCCAGGGAAATAGCAGGTTTCTTGGCAAACATGGCAGACCCTCCAGAACACGCCCACAAACCAAATGCTAACGGTGAGAGTTGGTGTTCCTGAGTGCCGCCTTCAGTGGCCCTTGCAGACCCCTAGGCGTGGACTCCAGGGTTGAAATCCTCWTTAGCTGGGGGGCATGCAGACTGGCTTTCCCCTCTGCTCTCCCTGTAGCATCCAGAGCCTGACTTTGGGGACAGCCCTTGACAGGGGGGTCAGCTTTCACCCACGGAGGCTTGAGGACATTTCGTACCTGCTTCAGGGTCCTGGGTGAAGAAGCCCAAGAGTCAGGATTCAAGTTCAGAGCCGTCTGACCCTGGGTTCAGTTCTCTTCAGAGTCCTCTACACCAGGTGATCCCTTCTGTGTGGAGCAGGATGGTGTGGTGTCTAGTCTGGCCAGCCGTGCAGAGCTAGCTCTCTGCAGGTCCCACCGTGGGGTGACAAGCTGGGCTGTGGGAGGAGTGGGGTTCCCTGGGGCTCTGAGGCCACCGTATGCAGGGAGCAGGGCCAAAGCTGTGTGGCCAAGAGAGTGTTTCTGCACAGGGCGCTACATTATTTTGCTCCTAGCAGGTAAATGAACAATGGCTTTAGCCAGGTGAGCTTCCCATGACAATCAGTGACATAGCWGGCAGGTGACACTGGAGTCCAGAAGCACCCCCAGTACCGGATCCTCAGGCCAGAGCCCAGAGCCCACACTTCCTTCTGCAAACCAGCCCAAACTGGCAGGACCCACTCCTTGCTCTGCGGCGCCCAGACATTGCTGCCCCCTCTATGGAGAGGCTTGGAGGACCCCAAGGTAGCGGGGGCAAAAATGAGTCCGGGGAAGGTGTGCTGGAGACAGGCGTGTGGGATGGCTTTCTCTGGTGTCTGAGGGCTCTTCACCTGCCCATGCGGGAGCAGGAGTGGTAGGGACAATAACCAGCGCTCCTGTCTGCTCCTCAGAAGGGCTCTGCCAACAAGGGAAGAACCTGGCAGAGAAGCCAACCCCACCTGCAGGTGGACAAGGGCAGGGGTGACTATCTCCTCATACTGTCCAAAGCTGAGGGCAGAGGCAGAGGCAAGGCCAGGGTGCCAAGACAGGAGTCCAGTCCCGCAGTGTCAACCTGGGGACCCAGGGTCAGGTGGGGAGCAGAGGTCAAGATGGGCTCTCAGGTAGACAGGTGTGCAGTTGAGCCCGGGGTGAGGATGAGATTTAAAGATGGACGAGGCTGTCTTCTGTAGCCCCAGGCGTTTTCAGACCAGCCTGGACAGGCACCTGGAGACTGAGGAAGCAGCATGGTTCTGGTGGAGGTACAGGTGGAGGTACAGGTGGAGG